TTCAGTGTGTTGGACAAACGAATTATTTTAAAAGGAGTGGATAGAGTAGTATGAGGGGGGGGGGGGGTTGAAAGAGACGAGAGAAGTTTAGAACCTAAGATGACAATAACCCATAATATTTCTACTTCATATTTCCACAGAATAATTTCACAATGTATAATACCCTGATCTGACACAAGTAAAAACAAGAAAACATATTTCATACATTACGGATTATCCTAAATTTCCTAGTGTAATTTTAGTCAAATGCATTAACTTAATTATTTTCCTCTTTTTGATGTGATTGTTTATCTAAAATGATATTAAAAAGTAACATCTGCTAAACTTTGTATTGGCTGTATTTTTTGTTGAATAATAATTACAGGAAAATTGTTTTTCGAGTGGACGAGTATGGTAATATGAACTATTGAGCCCTACTTCAGACAATGCAAGTTAATGCACAATGGCTACCATTAAAAATTTGGATTTCCTTAATGTCTACACAATTGGTTATTTTATGCTGTTGAAACCCAGATAAAAATATTTTGTCACCAAACTAATTTTTGATCACAAAATGGGCCAAACCTCCTTGAAAATGAGTCATTCACCCCCTCAAGTCAAAGAAAGCTTAGAAAGAACTTTGGTGTGCTGAGAGTATTGGAGACACATTAAAATTAATTCAAAATTTAAGATTAGCCTTTCAAACAAGAAGCTTGGCAACTAATATTTGAAAACTATGTGATCCACATTATCAAAATTTGTAATACGTACAGAAAATACATTTGATATTATATCTGTTGTTTTCAGTCTAATCAATTCCAGAGCAGCTCTGTGACAAATAAAATTTAAATCTGATTTTTTGAGATATCAGAAATGGGCTAATAATAATTAGATAATCAATATGTATGTTTTTCAACATAAAACTAATCATGCCTGTGGATTACCCCAATGAATCAAATGAATTATTATGCAAAGTAATCAATCATGCATAAATTTAGGGATGTGTATTGTTCCAGGGCGCGCATGTACCAAGTTTCATTATAATACAGTGATTAATCTATTGGTGGAAAACTGAAAAGTATTATGCAAATTAGGTAATTATGGATGCATATAAATCCAAAACTAATTAGATCGAGTATAAATGTACTAAGACTCATTGAAATAAGATAAGTACTTGAGATATATTGATGAAAAACCTGAAAACTGACTAATTATTATGCAAATATTTTAATGTAAAACTAATATGTTACTGACCATTTATGTACCAAGTTTTATTGAAATGGGATTAGAACCAAAACATGAATTACTATGCAAACAGATTTTATACCAAAACTAATCAAGGTTGTGCATTGTGCCAGAGCATCTATGTACCAAGTTTCATTGAAATGTGTACTGTGTAGATATCAGTGGAAAAAGCCGAAAAATTACTGATTATGAAAATTAGGTGATTAATATACACAGATTTTTTTTCCCAAAGCTAATCAAATCTGTGCTTTAGTCCAAAGCATCTATGTAACAAATTTCATCAAAATCCAATGTGTGGTTCTTTAGATATCGGTGGAACAGTCATGGAACAGCTAAACATTATCTAATTATTATGCAAATTAGGTAATTAATATGCACAGATATTAACAAAAACTTAATCAAATCTGCACATAAGCCCAGAGCAGAGCATCTATGCATAAATTTTTATCAAAAACTAACATGATTCTTGAGATATCAGTGGAACAGACCTCAGTCTAGACTACTTGGCCAACTTTACAATAATTGAGATGGAAGTCTATCTCCTCATCAACACAATGCACTGCGACTAAAGCTGCTCAGTCCTAGCCAAGGTGCAAGGTCTGATTTACAATTATAGCTGTTTACAAAATATGCCAGTTAATATGCAGCCACATCAATTCCGGATTACAAAATATGCATATGAATACAAGTGTGGCCTGTTTACAATTAGCACAAAAAAGACAAAGAGAAACATGTATGTGTGGATTTACAAAAACAGACCAACGGCCAGAACAATACAATTCATGGCAAGATAAGTAAGTTAATAATTAACAGTATTAGCAATAAGGTGCTAGTGATAACATGAACAGTGATATTTTTTTTTTATTAAATATTGTTTTTATTAGCCTGCCTCAATATAACAGCATACCATGGCATATAATATCATGGATGACACAAGCATCACATATACCCCCCTTCCCCAAATAATGAGCAACAGTACATAACTTGAAAATTTATTTCATTATATAAGATTATACAGTAATAATAATGCTATACACATACTGTTTAAACAATGATTATAATATTCCTACGATCATCTTGTTTGGTCAAAGTTGCAGAGTTCTACAGCTCTAATAAAAGCGTAATGAAACTAAAAATTGCATTTATTGTACGCTTGATCAATAAAATATGACTTATTTTGGTAAGGTTCCTCTGCCATTTAAAATCTCAGGCTCACAGTTTTGAAATAGAAGTTGAATGGAAAGTTTGATGAACAGCAGAATTGATCAGACGAATAGCTCTGATGCATCCTCTTTGATGACAGCAGAGTTGAGTATCAGCAACTAAAAACAGAGACATGAATAAATCTGACAGAGATACACAAAGCAAATTTCAGGAAAATAAAAATACAATTGTTGACAGATGGATGGATAGTCAGTAGCCCTTTGCACACTATCTATGATCAATAATTACAATTATCAGTTCATATTTTGGCAGTAGTAAAACCCAATCACTCTGAATATCATTTATCTTATTCATCAATTGGTTGCTTGGCTACAGTAGTGACATCCATCATTTCTTCTTGAGGTTTCCTCTCAACTGCTGGTGGTCGAAGATTTGGCATGGCTCTCTGAAAAAAAACACAGTTATAATGTTTATACATGATAAAGCAACACAATATGAAATAATATGTGTACTATAGTAAATACAACAGCTACAAGATTAGCTGACCATCACTGAGCAGTATCATAGCTTTTCAGTATTTGAGTTCTCAGCATCTAAGAGTGTCAACAACTCACTGAATCGCATACAGGATTTTCTGTTTGGCGACTGAATAAGAACTATATTACAAAATAGAGTGACCATTTTTACTTATGTTACGACAGTATCAGAACAAACATAGAACATCACATGTTTTCTAGGTTAACTAGGTTTAGTACTCTTCTGTAGCAGAATTCAAACTGCAATGCATGATAGGATTTTTTTATAGTGAAGACAAATAAATAACTTGGTCAATAAATGGCGCAATGAGTCAGGTTTGGGTCAGTTTAACTCGCCAATGTCATAACGTTCAGATTTGAATTTTGTTTCTTAAAACTGAAAAGGATTTCAACTACTTTTTGCCAACAAGACAGCTTTAACAATGTGTAATAAGTATGCTAGAACAAACAAATAAATAGAACATTCTGTCTTTGGTCTTTCAATCTAGACATTAGTAAACAAATATTGAACACACAATCTTGTCCAGACAGACTGTACTTACACTTTGCTGTGCTGACATCATTTGTATCTTTCTTTGGTAGAAGTCATAAACAAACTGTGCCATGTGGGGCATGTTACGAACTATCAATATATCTAGAGGACGTTCCACAACCTGAATAAGAAGATGAAAAAAATATGAAAGACCCTTTTATCTCCATGATACATACAAAGTATGGTGAGAAACTTGTGCATGAGAAAAATCAAATATTGATATCGTACACATGTATTGAACGATGTTAATTCACTGTACAGAATCTGAAATTGATCATTAATACCAGTACAAGGTTCTTCACAAGGTTACTGCAAACTATGCATGAAGATATTGAATCTATTGACCAGCATACTGTCAAGTGCATACTTTGTGGTAATAACCTTATCATAGGTGTAGGATGCCCAGAGTAAAACGATGAAAACTTTCTCGTTACGAACTTCGTTTTCAAAAATATTGGAAATATGTGTTACACTTCCGTATTTGGCATTTGCATTTCCTAATATGGTAGGATGCAGATATATTGTGCAATACTGCAAAATTCAGGCACACTTATGGGGGTATGGTGACAGATATAATAATAATGTCTGAACTCAGTATGTGTATTCTCATGATAACTGAAAACATGTTTTGTTTTTAAATACTTACCTTTCTTGCAGGTGGATATATTTCATTTGGAGCAATATGTAGTTGTAGCGGTCTTTGCATTAACTGAAATATAAATTTTAAAACGGGTCAACATTTGAGATGAAGTAGAAAATTTATCAATTCTTGAATAATTAGCTGTCTATACCATATTAAAAATGTAATCAAGTATTTCAGGTTTGCTCATTAACATTATATCCATTTTTGCTCTATAAAAAAAACATCTCTAGAAGTGCATATGAACCAACAGTCACATTTGTTGTACAAGTATACCGAATCATAAAAATATTACCTATATTTACCATAGAAACACCACTACAATTTACAGTGCATGCATTACTACATTTATTACTCAGATCAATAAACAACAAACCCAATTACAGATCGAGAAGTCAAGAGAAATTAAAGGGCAGTTATCATTGTGCAGCACGTAATCAAATTTTGTGCAAACAATGTATTTTACATGTGTTGTATATGTCGCCATGGGACCCATGATGCGGTACAACGACCATTTTCCTTTGAGCAGCCAAATCAATAAAGATGTTCATGTTTACTAATATTTATTATGAAGAGGAACAGCTCACTGGAACTGATGTGATGCAAAAAAGAATTACAAACATACCCAGGTACTCACCTGGTTGAAGGTTGGAGAGAGTTCATAACAGTTCTGAAATAGTGAAACCCTGGCAAACACATAGAGACCAAGTCTGGCACGAGACATAGCAACAACCAATCTCCTAACATCTCTAAAAACAAAAACGTACACAAAGATTAAAATTAATAGCCATGTACCTTTGCAGATCTTAATATTATATTATAAATATCAGGTTGAAAATTGATGTTATAACGGAATTTATTTTTGGTTCTCTGGGTGAATTATTTAAAGAGAAACATAACAAAAAACTATTGTTAATCTTTAGTTGTCAATGCTGGTATGTTTCAATAACAAAAAATGGTATTGCTTATTACATTACATTACATTACATTACATAGCAATTAAATGTAAAATGTCATGTCTGTAGTACCAGTTTTTTTAAAAAGTTATTTTGCAAATCTCCGCTTACCTAAGATGTCCAACAGCCTTAGTTCTAACAAGTGATAGCAAGATATAATCATTCTGTTGTCCTTGGAAACGATCAACAGTCGTCACCTAGTGAAAAACAGAAGAGATTTAAAATTTACAAACCCAGTAAATTTCCTGTGGTTTGCTTTTAATATCTAAAAATGTGTGACACTATTTCAGCTAAAAACAAGTCATTGAAAATGACACAGTCCCCGTTAAATTTTTGAATGTTCTCTTTGTGCTCGTCATATTAAAGCGGAGGGGTTGTCGCGAGCGTGTCCTTGAAACTTGAGTTCCAAGTGGCGTATACAACAGATTGTTTATTTACATCAAAACACATGTTCCGTGTAGTAGTAATATGGCCAAAAATAAAAACAGCCGTTATTCGGCCATTTTTGATCTGATTATGAAACACACTGATATGTATGATGTATGTGCCACTTACGAATGAAAATGGTACATAAATTGTGGAAATATAGTAGTAAGGCCAAAAAGTCAGATGGCTGTCAATCGGCCATCCTTGACCAGATTTTGAAACAAATTGTCATGGACATATATCCTAACATGTATAATCTATGTACCAAGTTTGAATGAAAACTGACAAAGCATGTCCAAAATGCAACATTTTCAAAAAACAAGATGGCTGTCAGTCGGCCATTTTGAATTGAATCGCATATGTCCCACATAAAGTACTAGGCACATGCAAAGAATGAACGGAATCGGTCCAAGGGATTCTGAGATATGACTCCGGACGGACGTATGGACGCACAGACGGACGGAGACCGAATTATAAGTCCCCGTTTATAATAAATGAATCAAAAGAACAACCAAAGAGAAAAGAACATAACAAATATCAGAAAACAAAGTATACTGTATATTCAATCAGTAAACATGCTTAGAGGACACGTACATGCTTAAATGACCCATGTGGTGTCATTCCGAACGAATCTGTGTTTGCAATATTTTTACTCACTTTGTATGCACATATAGATGCCATGGAACATTCTCAGCACCTCATTTCATAGAACAGCACTACGTATACGTGGTGAATGCCACCACATGCTACAATCATATTATTGTCAGAGCATATACTTAAAAGGCGGTGTTTGTCACACCACACATGTGCGACATTTGTGTTGATAAACATTGATTTTCCCACACACGCACCCATGCACACTTCTAATGAGATCACAAGAGTAAGAGTTTTGATTACCGTCGACGATACTTTCCAATCACCAAAAAAAAATACCTATAATTAAAGCTTAGTAACCTCTCAGTTTGTACTCGTTGGTCTACGCAATAGTCAAAGTCGCCATCTTTGTTTACCGGTATATGAGACCCATATCATGCACATGTATGGTGTAATTTCTAACATACAAATGTATGTTGTTTTCCTTGTGATTACTGACAAATTCTGAATAATCTGGCATGACATTGATCTGCCCTTACCTTACTGGGTCGACCAATGAGTGGGTTGTTACCACACCTCTGATTGATGACATCACGTATAAGATGTTTCTGTCCATTATATGTAGTAAGAATGCTTATCTTGTCAGCTGGGTATCCAATTAATCTCATGAACATAAACAATGCTACCACGTATTCGGCTTCAGCCAAATTCTGTAATGATCAAACATCACATCAAGCTATGCCAATTCCTTACATTGAATGACTACAGTAAAATCTGTATTAGAAGCCGCATCCCTGATAGAAGTCGCACCCTTTTTGAATAATTGAGAACCAAAAATTCATCATTTCTCATATGTGTAGATGCTCTAATAGAAGCCGCATCCCCTCTGTTGCATTGTACCATTTTAATAAAAGCCGCGGTTTTTAATACAGATTTTTACAGTAGGACCAGACTCCGTCTATTACAAGTACCTATGCATCTTAACCACAGTTTTTTCATATATCAGTATTCGTTACTGAGAAGTTACAGTAAATTGCTTTAATTTCATGAGATACAAAGTTATCAAATTTCGCAAGTCAGTGCAATTCATGAAATTTTGCAGCAGTGGAAACTTCTTATGGGGTCCTGCGACACTGGGTGTCAGCAACAAATGCCATAAAATGCTCAAACCTTGAAAATTCCTAACTATGAAAATTAAATGGTTTACAGTGATTACAAATGCTACACAACAATTGAGAACTTAGTAACCAATTATAGAATGTAACCACACATGGGGATATGCAAGTAGGAAGAGCTAAGCATTTCCCATCATCCCTCGCCCAGTCATTACATATGGTCAAGTCATACAAAACCAAGGCATACCTGAAAGAAGTACGGATTTGGTTCAGATTCCCCAACACCATTGAAACCTTCCACGTTGATAAGCTGGAAATCAAACCCCATTCCTGGATTAGCCATCTCGAATTCAGGCCATGTAACGACGTGTGGTAGATTACCTAGCTTACTGTATCGCCAGTTGTACAGGTTACATATACTGTAAAACAAATCATGACTTTGTGATTCAGTCTCTGGTAATGGTGTATAGAATAACACTGCATAATAATCTCACCATACAAATGACATGGACAAAAGTGCAATATCTTTGAATTTATTCAGTTCTAGATAAAGAATTAGTGATAGGGTTGGGAGTAGGTTAAGGCAAAGGATTTGGGTTAAGTTTAGGTGTGTTTTAGACATGAGAAATTGTTAAAATAATAATAATATTTCAGTGTCATATTCAAAATGATATCATATATTAAACTACATATTTTTATTCTACACAAATGCCCAGTTTCTTTTTGGGATAAAATCACAATCCTCCTGAGTAAGAACTTCAGTGCAGTTTATCATGGCATCATACACATATTCATTTCAAATTATTTTTTAAATAAATATCACTTGAATATAATATAGCTACCGGTACTATCAAATCTAGCAAAGAATAAAAATGTTCCTGAAATGTTCTAATAACATCAGGAAAACCTTGAAAACAATTTACATACCTAGCTCTGGCTCGTCCTTGGGCATCCAAATCAACAGTTGGAACCCCAAGTCTAACGAGTCGGGTGAAGAGAGACTGCTCCATATTGGAGAATTTCTGAAATGCCATATTTTTTATGACAGGGGGAAGCTGGTGGTGATCTCCAATCATGATCCATCGTTTTAGTCTGCTAAAACCATCTTCTGGATTCTGAGAAAACAACAAAATGTTACGAGAGAACAATTATGTTGCAGCTGTCTATAAAAGCTTCTTGTCAGTAACCTGTCATACCTATATATTTTTTTTTCCTAAAGCCAGGTTCTACAATTCCAAAATTTATGGACATGGCGAACACACTTTTGAATTTCATAAAAAGTTCAAAGAAAAAAGTTGGTGCACTGAAATAGTTTTTGAATTGTATACCTCAGTTGTGTGTACTAGTATTTTGTCCACTTTTCAATTCAAAATGGTTGCCAGAGTATGACAATATGGGGAAATCACAAAGTTATTGTTTCCATGGAAACAAGTGCGGGTATGATATGCCCTTTTTCATATATTTGATCACAGTCCCTCCACAACCGGTTATGAAACGCTATTGTCAAAAGGTGTGAACGAGCTTAGATTGAAAAACAATGCGTGTTTCAGCCTTCCAGCTGAAGTGATGACGTCATAGTTTACGCTGAAGCGTTCACACTGAGGTCGGTCGTTGGTCGAGTCGGAGAAATCAACGTAGTGTAATAGTTTCTTCAAATATATTTCGTAATTGACGCTATTATTTGAGTTTATTTAGTTGTCAGGAACATCTTGAGTGAATATTAGGTCGTGTATGTCGTTTTTATCCGAGACATCAAATGATTTGTGACTGGGAACTTCAGGCGCAGTTTTAGAATCGATCATTGCATTTGTGTTATGACGATGTCGGTAGTTTTGACC